GGCGCCGACCCCGCTGCTGCCCCCCTCAGCCACTGCCTCCGTCAAGATGGAGCCGGAGAACAAGTACCTGCCCGAACTCATGGCTGAGAAGGACTCGCTCGACCCGTCCTTCACGCACGCCATGCAGCTGCTGACGGCAGGTAAGCGGGCCTCGCGGGTCCTTCTGGGTCGCCCGGCCGCATGGGTGGCCAGCGGCTTTGTTCCCCTTGCTTCCCGCCCCCTGGAGACCGAGGCGGCCGTCGGCTCCCCTTCTCTCGCGCTCATCTCGGGGAGCCTGGATTCTTGTTCCCGTCCCGCCGGGGTGCGAAGGAAGGAGAACCTCTGGGCTGCAGCGGCGGCCCGCAGGGGGCTGGGGATCTCCCAGCGCGAAGGTGTGGACGGGTCGTGCTCCGCTCCCCGCCCACCTCTCGCAGCTGCCCCGGGCCCCAAGTGTTCAGATTCTTCCAGAAACGCACCTTTAACTCCCCTTCCCCCAAAGGGAAAGCTTTTTTTTTTTTTTTTTGACTGTGGGTAGCGGTAGGCACCTCAACCGCCTCCTTGGACTGTGGCTGGAAGACCACCCTGCGTTCCTGCCTCTGCAGTTTTTAAACACAGCCCTGGAGTCTCAGGGCAGATGCTCAGCAAGGGGCGGCGACGGCCTTTGTTGTCCTGTCTTCCTGCCAGTCCTCCTCCTAGCCCGCTGCCTCTGTCACTGCTTGTTTGATATTTTCAAATCCGGCTGAGGCAGATGATGGGGCCACAGGAGGAGAATCCTTCAGGGCGTCTTGTTTGGTTTGGAAATATTTAAATGTCTGCTGCATTTCCTCCGAGAGGGGAGAAGTCAGGGCCTGTGGGACAGCCCTGCCCTCCAGCCACAGCCCTGCAGCGGCCGGAGTGCCCTGTCCAGCGCGCCGGGCCGCTGGGTCCGGGCCGGACTCCCCGGGAATGAGCTTAAGTTTCTCCCGGGCAGGAGCAACCTGTGGGAATCGACGCTTAAGGTTTTTCCTAATCGGATTTCTGATTTCGGCACATAAGATAATGACAGAGCCGGAAAGATTGGACACCTTTATTTTTACGACGTGTGTTCGCCATCATTCCAGGCGAAAAGTAACCCTAAAACAGTGAAAATGGGGTGGAGGGCGGTAAAGGGTGGTTGCACGACGTTCCCCAACGAGATGGACTGAAATGGAAGAAGTTGCAGGATGCACGCACCTGAAAGGCTTGGTCTTTCTGTTTGTTTTTGCTTCGGTAGTGAAATAGAGTAGGAATCGTCTTTGTTCTCTATTGTCCGTAGACGAGTGCTCCTTTCCTGCTCGGCACTGGCCCATTACCTAGTCGCTCTGCTTTCTCCCTAAAGCCGGCTGTTTTGCCCTCACTTCTGGTTGAAACGTTGTTGTAATAAGTATTTCGTATGATACCTAAGTTTTATTAGGTAAAAATTGGCAGCCTTCAACACTGAATAGTTGGACTCCGGCAAGGTCGATACAATGGACAGATCGTTATGAAAACATTTCCCTCCCTTTGTTCTCTATCTCCAAACATTGGTGAGGGGGGGTCTTTAAAAAACGCAAACTAAGAATATTTAAAGTGCTTCATTTTCAACTCAGTGCTTTGCCGCTCTGTAACACAGTTGGATTGTTTGTTCATTGTGTTCTTCCGGCAAGCTTTCTGAGAGCAAGGAATGCTTTTTATCTTTATAGTTTTCAGATTGTCTTGCATATAGCAAACACCAGGTAATTGAATTTGAAAGCAAGTACATGCAGATTTAGGAATGTTAGACTAAGTGGTAAAAGTTGACTTAGTAGTCTGGTTTTTATTTTCTCAAATCTTTAATTAGTCCAAGTAAAATTTGTGAGACTAAAATATCAACTTTAGAACTTGAAGCTGTTGGTTTAATTCTGACCCTTAAGTAGTTACCCACTCTTGGGAAACATTCTGAACCTCAGCAACCTCAACTGTAAAGTGGGATAGTGAGTTGTGAGGATTAAATGATGTGTAAAGCCCCAGCACAGTTCCCTTTGACCTATAATTATTAGATAACAATTTGTCACCACCATTTCCTTCTATGTGTAAATTCATAGTTAAATATGGTGTGAAAATACAGTGCTCTTTAATTTTTTTAACATGGGCTTTTTTATGTGTTGTTTTTTTTTAACCAAACAAATTTAATTGGAGAAATGGGATTAAGGTAATTCTTGTTTATTAAGAACCAGACTATGTATATTTCTTAGCGTGGGAAATCTTGGTATATGTTGAACCTAACTTTTAAGGTATTTTTGAATGATCTGGAAAAGGGATTGTAGTGAAGGTAACCAACAACAAGAAAGTAAGAGACTGAGAAGACAGAATAGTGGTATTTAAGCTCTGATAATGAAACGGTAAGAAAAATACAGCTAACACTTACTGTCCAGGCACTGGTCTAACTCTAAGCACTTAACATCAAATATTTAGTCTTCAGGACAATACTATGAAGTTACTTTTATTATCCTCACTTTTACAGATGAGAGAACCATGCATACAGAGATTAAATTAGCCAAGGTAACAAAGTTAGTAAACAGCATAACTAGGATTTGAAATCAGTCTGAGTCTGAATCCACACACTTAACCCTCTCCACCCCTCCACTATAGTACCTGCAACAAATTGTACTTAAGAAAATATTTTGGACCTGGCCTATGTGGCTCAGAGGTTGAGGGACGACCAGGAGGTTGTGGTTTGATTCCTGGTCAGGGCACATGCCTGGGTTATGGGCTCCATCCCCACTGTGGGGCATGAAGGAGGCAGCTGATCAGTGACTCTCTTGTTAATTGAGGTTTCTATCTCTCTCTCCCTCTCCTCTCTCTGCAATTAATATAATATATATAGGCCCTGGCTGTGTGGCTCAGTAGAGCATTGTACATACACCAAAAGGTTTCCGGTGCAATCCCCTGTGGGGGTGCATGCTAATAGATGTTTCTCTCTCTTCCCCCCTTTGTCTCTCCCCCTGCCCACCTCCTTCTCCTCTCTCTGAAATCAATGAAAACATATCCTCAGATAAGGATTAAAAATATATATTTTTTGTACTACTTAGACAAAATATTATAAAATCATTTTGAACGCATCAGAGTACTAGAACAGGGCAGTGCAGATGACAAGGCCAAGATATAGAAAAAGAAAACCCATAGAGCAGAGCCTAGCACTTGGGTCAGTGACTAAGGTACCTCTGCCCATTTTCAAAGATCTGCGGCAAGACCCAGACCACTCTTCCTTCACTATTCACATAGCTCTCCCTGTCCCTTACCCGGCTTTACTTTGCACTTCTCAGCATCTGATGCATTATATATTGTAGTTATGTGTTTGTTGACCACCCCTTCTCCTTCATAGCTAGAATGTCAGCTCCACCAGGACAGGGATCTTTTGTCTCCTTTGTTTACACTATATCTCCTGTTCCTTGAAGAGTGCCACACACACACAGTGGCTTCTTACTAAATATTTGATGAATGGATATTCATCTTCATTTCATGATGGAAAAATAACACAGTTCTAAGGGATTTGGGTTTTGAATATAGACTTTACTAGACAAGTTGATATTTAACTGTGATGACAAATGCATTTGCAGACATGCAAGGACTCAGTATACCCATGCTTGCTTTCTGAGACAAAAATAATTTATAATTTGTGTTAAATGCTTACATAATAAACAAAATGCTTTTAAGCGTATCACTGTTCTTTTTCTACTCTCTACAATTAGGAAAATATAAGTTAGTGTAAATAACTCAGGAATCAGTAAACATTTGATAGATTAACAATCCCCAGATCTTGAAAGGATACTCAGAAATCTATCTTACAGCCCTGGCCGGCTTGGCTCAGTGGATAGAGCGTCAGCCTGCGGACTGAGGGGCCCCAGCTTCGATCCCGGCCAAGGGCACATGCCTGGGTTGCGGGTTCGATCCCCAGTAGGGGGTGTGCAGGAGGCAGCCAATCAATGATTCTCTCTCATCAATGTTTCTCTCTCTCTCCTCTCTCTTCCTCTCTGAAATCAATAAAGAAATATATTTTTTTAAAAAAAAAGAAATCTATCTTACAAAAGCACACAGTATAGAACATTTGCAAAGTTTATTGGAACTTCAAATTAGTTAACTCCTTTATTTTATTTATGATACACTATAAAAATATATCTAGATGTTCCTATTTCATTCTGTAGGGCTAGAAGACTTGTTTAAACCAGAAAGTGGAATTGCAAAGAAATTATAGACCAAATACAGATATAAGTGTAAATATTAGGAAAGAAAGGCAGAGTTATCATCACTGTTTGCAACAACATCATGATTGTTTACCTTGAAAAGTGGTCAGTGATGTGGTTGATTGCAAGTTAAAGATGTACAAATCAGTAGGTTTCTACTCTATGAACATTAGAAAAGAATTGACAAAATGATCTCATTTTTAGAATAGTATCAAATGCCTTGGGACAAGCAATGAAAATCAGTTCAAAATGTATGTGAATAATTATAACAAACAATAACAATAATTAACCTTTGTAGAGCCTGTAACATGTGCCATGCTACTCATAATTCAATCTTCCTGGCCATTCTCTGAGGCAGAAAGAATTTTTATCTTAATCTTACAGATGAGGAATATTGTGATCATATTGTCAACTTAAAATTTTACTGAAGGTGATGAATATCTGAATAAAAAGAGAAATATGTCATTTCCTAAAAGGGGGGGAGGGTGTGGAGGAGGAACTAGTGTTACAAAGATTATAGAATTTTTATTTAAAATTTTTTTAAATTGATTTTGAGAGAGAGAAAGGAAGAAAGAGAGAAGCATCAATTTTGTTGTTCCACTTAGGCATTCATTGGTTGATTCTTTTTTAATATATTTTTATTGATTTCGGAAAGGAAGGGAGAGGGAGAGAGAGGTAGAAACATCAGTGATAAGAGAGAATCATTGATTGGCTGTACACCCCACACTGGGGATCAGGCCCGCAACCCGGGCATGTGCCCTGACTGGGAATCAAACTGTGACCTCTGGTTCATAGGTCAACACTCAACCACTGAGCCACGCCAGCCGGGCATCATTGGTTGATTCTTGTATGTGCCCTGACCAGAGATCAAACACGCAACCTTGGTACATCGGGATGATGCTCCAACCAACTAAGCTACCTGGCCAGGACAAGATGACAAA